AAGTGTTCTAGCACAATCACTTTCTTATCATCATGGTTTGTGACCCATCTGTTGTCATGCTTTAGTCGATGAATAATTTTTTTCCTTCTTCTATGATTGACACGAATGTGGAAGAAACGAGTGTTGGCGTCGCCCTCTTTAAGCAAAGTAACCCTGGAGCTCTGTCTCTTTCTGGCTCTCTCTAGAACAGCAAGGGCCACTATCTTTTTTTAGCTTACTCCGAAGATCTCTTTCCTCACTGCTCAAAGTTCGACTTTCTTGGGCCAAATCCAGTCTAAGGATGATCTCAAGAGCCATGTGGAGTTGGACTTTATGATTGGAGAAGATCTTTTTGCTCCAAGTGCGTAGGCGTTGACTAGCTCTCTTTAGCTTGTGAAAGAGGATTTGGCATGGCTCAGCATGGGGGACTCTCTCGTTCCAAGCATCTTGAACAACCTTCTTGAAGTTCGACATCTTGATCCAAAAGTTTTCGAAGCGGAAGCACTTTGGTCGAGAGGGCCCGGAGTCACTAGCGAGGAGGAGAGGACAATGGTCGGACAATGAAGATGACAACGCATGTAGGACGTGTGTGCCGAATTGGATGTCCCAATCTTCATTACAACAAAAGCTATCTAGTTTGCTCATGGTCGGATCAGCTCGCTCGTTGCTCCACGTGAATTTCCTATTCTGCAAATGTATCTCCTTGAGCTCGCAAGCATTGAGAGCGTTGCGGAACCGGACAATGCGGCTCCGATCAACATTGGAACGGTTCTTATCTCGGGCACGATAGACTTGCTTGAAATCTCTGGTGATAAGCCATTTCGTGCCATTAGTAGGTTTCTGCCCAACCATCTCAAGGAAAAACGCATCCTTCAAATTTCCTCTAGTGGGGCCATAAACAGCTGTGAGCTGGAAAGAGGTGCCTGAGCCGATGATCGTCACCATGGCCGAGAGGAAAAAGGTCCCAAAGCACACATTATCAATCTTGATGAGGTCATCATTCCACAAGAGAAGGATGCCCCCACGGGTGCCATTCGCGGGGCGCTCGGTGAAGCTTTTCAAACGGTGGCTGCCCAGAAAAGCAGCAACAAAAGGATCCACAACAGCAAGTTTGGTTTCCTGAAGACATACAATGTTGCACGAGGTGGAGGCAATGGTTTCTTTTACAGCTGCATGATGGTCTAGGCAGTTCAAACCACGTACATTCTAATTCAAAATGCATAAGTTGTTATCATCCATCTGAAACTAGCATTACATCTATCATTGGGACCAAACAACATCAAGTCCTTGCTGTGGCTTCCTCGTTTCCCATCGGCTGCAGTTCTGGGACCGTGTCTCCACCATGCTCAACTAGAGCATCTTCAATGGCAGTGGCCAGGTCGCAGTCAAGCTTGAACAGAGCACGCAACGCCGCCACCGCAATGTCAAGTAGTTGACCATTGAACAACGCTAAGTACTTGTTGATCGCCTCCTCGGTGATCATCTCTCCTTCCTCGACAATGCCCAGCCTTTGGCAGAGCAGTTTCTCCGCTAGTTGCGCAATAGGCATTGATCGATTCTTGGCGTGAAGCCGCGGGCTACTGCGTCCCATCTGGAAACTAGAGATTCCAGCAAGGGTGTTCCTTCTTCTTGTTGGCCGCCTAGGCGGGGTGGATCTTGGCGTTGGTGATGGTAGTAGGGCCGACTGACAAGGCACGAAGATGGGAGTGCACTGCTCTGGCTGCACAAAAATGTCTTGCTGGGAGCTTGGACGAGCAAAGGCCTCCCCCATTGGCGAATTTGAGAGGGGAGGTGTCCTGGTCAAACTAGACGAGCCGTGAGGATGAGGCGACGATGGCGATGCCGGGTTTTTTTTTTGGAAATGGAGGCATGCCCCTGGCCTTTGCATCATGATGATGCATGCAGCCATCTTATTAACAATCCAAAATCATCATAAAAGTCTTACAGCTCACAAAACGGAGCAGAATAAAGTATCAAAAAAAGGAAAAATACATGTGAACCATGTCAACTGGCACAATGAATATAAAAAGGATAAGCTCTCTAGACTCCTATCCTGTTATGCGAGCGCCATCCGAACCGGTTGAAGATAACCCGAGCTACCATCTCCCATTGGTTGCACCCAGTAACCAAAGGCTCCCTGGAGTCCATAGGAGTGAGTAAGGACCACACACGGATCCAAGCTGTAGCTCTGAAGACAACCTTCAAAAAAGTTAAAGTGTGTTGTCTGTTAAAAATCATATCATTCCTGCAGTTCCATATAGCCCATAATAGTGCACATATTCCAATCCGAATACGAGCCGCATTAATCTGATCAACCCCAGCTAACCACGTCCCAAACAAAGACGCAATATCAACTTGAGGATTAATATTAAAAGCTATATGAATCGTTCTCCAAAGTAACTTAGCAAGTGGGCATTCAAGAAATAAGTGTTGTATTGTTTCGTCATGATCACAAAAACAGCACCGCGAAGAGCCTACCCATCGCCTCTTAATTAAGTTGTCCTTTGTGAGTATCACTTGCTTGTGAACAAACCACATGAAGATTTTAATACGCAAAGGAATCTTAACTTTCCAAATGTGCAGCGACCTTGATAGGGGGCCAGAGTTAATGAGATCCATATAAAAAGATTTCACCGTAAACCTCCCATTCGTAGTTAATTTCCATTGCATTGAATCCGGCTGATCGGAGAGTTGAACTTCTATCAATGCCGGTTTGTCCTGCCTAGCATACGACGTTCTTCTCCTAGCAGTAGGCGGCCTCGACGGAGTGGAGGTGGGTGTCGAGAGTAGTGTCGGCGACCGCGACACGAAGATAGGTGTGCAAGTCGAGCTGTTAGAGGATGGGGTCGCGTCTGGGGTCGACAATGCGACAGGCTCATCTTCGGTGCCCGTCGAAATATGGAGATGGAGTAGTGGCGCGGGGGAGCATGTCGAGGAAGCTTGTTTGTTGAGCGGCGTGTCGGGGCTTGAGGCCAGGCTGGCTGCACGGTGCAACAAACGAAGTGGCGATCGAGCAACCCCTCCCGGCGGTGCGGACTCTGTTAGCACTGTCAAGCCCCGATACGGTGCCATGCAACGCAGCCAGTAGGGGGCAGTTAGGGAAGGTCCCAGCTCAATCACGTCTTGGTAAGTAGTGCGAGGCGAAGGCGGCGTTGGTCTTTCGAGGTTCTCAGAGGCGATGAAGGAAGGCTGCAGCTCGATGATGTCGCGGTATGTAGTGCGAGGGAAGGCGTCAGCGATCTTCCTCGATTATCCTCACAGCGCGGACTAGTAGTATGCGCACTCCGGCGCGCGCACCTCACCGGCGTGTCAGCTGGGCGATCACGGGACCTTCTGCCTGAAGCTGGGATAACATCACCACCTGGGAGTCGTTGCACACGCCCGCTGTCAATTTTCCGGGCATCAAGAGTCTGGCGTGCCAGGCCACGACGCTTGTCAGCGCTCTTGCGGGCATGGTTGTCGAGGTCTTCTCGTCGCGGATTGTGCGAGTCTCGATCTCTCTCATCACAGACAGACCCGCGGTCTCTGTCACGGTCGTTGTCCTGGCGGCCTTGGTTGCCATGGCCATGGTGGCCATCGGCCATCCCCTGATGGTCACGCAAGCTTTCTAGACAAGGGCGGCGTGGAGCCCTCGCATTAGCATCAGCCGGAGGGGGTAGCAACATCGATGGTGGCGGTGGGAGGCAGGCTTGCGGCGTAGGCGGCGACCTGTTGGTGCACTGGCGTGCGTGGTGCCCACTCTGCCGGCATATCAGACACTTGTAGGGGTCGCGACAGTCAATCTTACAGTGTCCCCGCTCCAGGCAGCGATGGCAGGACCGACGGCGATGCTTGATGAAACTGCTGCCCGTTGAAGGGGAATAGGAAGGCGAGAGTCGCCATCTTGAATGGTGGAGGCTCGGAGACAGGGCTCTCCACCAATACGGTGCTCTGACAGTCTTCCAACCTTCCTCCGAGCTAGCATCCAAATATGACGACCCGGTTGATGGCGACGCGGGGCTTGAGATTAGGGGCGTCCGAGCCGCACACCGACTGGCCTTGAAGGTCGTAGACGCCGCCATCTTGAGGCACGACCTGGGGGCGCCATGGATGGGCTTGAGAGGGGCTGGATTCAGCAGCTCTTCAGCAGCAGCGAAGGACACCTTCCGGATTGGGCCTGATGCGACGACAACCGCAGCTGGAGGTGGCCCTTCGAGGAGCGGATCCGGGAAGGTGGACGAGCTTGTAGAGGCATGGCACATTGGCGGGGAGCCCAGATCTGGCGTGGATCCAGCCAGCTGCGGGAACAGCGAGCGCACGAGGTCCCCATGAGCATACCTTGGAGTTTGTAAACCGGGAGGGAACCGCGGCGTTGCAGGGGAGAAGCAGGGCTGGGCGTGGAGCGGCGCAGCGGCGGCGACGTTGGTGGCTGCGGGCGCTGGAGCGGCGCGTCGCACGAGCGTAAGCAGGGGAGGTGGCATGTCGTTGTTCTCTGTCCATCTATGTATGTACTCCCTCCGTTCGGAATTACTCGTCCAAGAAATGAATGTATCTAAATATATTTTAGTTGTAGATACATCCATTTTTGTGACAAGTAACTCGGAATGGAGAGAGTAGTACTCACTTTTATATACTCGGATGTTGGTACCAATTGACATGGTAAAACAACAAAGCATATGCAACCAACAGGTATGTTGGGATGGCTCCATCTTGTTGAATCCTTGACATTTCAAATTCATCTGATATGCACAAACAAAAGTATGGTATTGGATCCATTGTACAGCAAGAACACTGAGCAGCACTGTATCAGGAATTACATTTGGGCCTTTAACTACAACTCATGGAATTCGTTCTGACAGTGCCAACCGTATGTTTCACTATAGCTTGTCATCCAGAGGTTTACTACTGTACATATCACTTTTTGAGGGATACTGTATATATCGCTGCCTGTTTGAGGTACAGTTATGTTCAGAACGATCAGCTACGTACTGCTGCTTTTAGCCTGTTGATGATTGGTTCTTTACACCACGAATATGAACGGATCAGCGATAGTTTCTGCACCTGTATGTCCGGGGGTTGTACGACCTCCTCTGCAGCCATGAAACGATAGCCGCAACATCGTCCTGTGAGGATGATGGTGTTGATGACGATGACGACGCCGCCGCCTCGGGAGGGAGGTTGTCAGCTTGTCTTGCTCGACCAGATGGTGTTGATGATGCGATGAAGCTACGCCAGAGCCGATCAACCATCTCCTTGCACATGTCGTCGCCGTCGCCATCGTCGCGGAACGACTCCAACTTGTCGATGATGTCCTGCATGGCCAGGTGGAAGCCCTCGACCTGCAACAAGATGCTGTGAGCCTCGTCCACCAGCCTGTGGTTCCGCATGAGAGATATGGCGGCATCCGCCACCCCCTCCCGCACAAATCTGCTCCAGTTCTCCTCGGCCTCGCACAGGCTGGCCAGCGCCACCGCCACCGTCTTCTTCACATCAATGTCTCCCACCAGCAGCAGCTCCATCAGTGGAGCAAACCCTCCAAGCTCACCGATCTTGATCTTGTTGTAGTAGTTGTCAGCCAGCAGCCCAAGGATCCGAGCGCACTTGGCCCTGGTGGGCACTGGCCCCAGCAATGCCCTCGCGATCAGCACGGGTATGGCGTACCGGTCGTCTCCGAAAACCTCCTTGTTGGGGCTGTAGGAAGCTGCCATGGCAAGGATTTCCAGGACGACGTCGTCTAGCTCAGGGTGAGGCTCCAGGCATGTCTCCGGCAGGACGCAGGCGAGCTTCGTTATTGTCCCTGGGCTGTGCCCCAGCAGATGCAGGAATGAGCACCGCTCCTGGTCGGCCAGAAGGCGCAGGATAGCCTCGTAATCTTGTTTAGAGCTCCTGGGGGAGTTGGCCAAGAGGGTGACTTCCTTGAACAGGGCTTCCTCCTCGGGAGAGATAGCTGGTGGATCGGTAGGTGCTGTCATATCACTCATCCTGTTTGCGGCACGCCAACGCGAAATGTACAGCGCAATGAGCGCATCAGGGATGAAGATGCTGTGCGTGAGGACCTCGCCGGTAACTGGACACATGCGTTTGTTTTTCTTCCACCATTTCTCCAGTTCAGACTGATCTACCGTCTGCAGCCAGCAACCAAGGAGATCAAACATACGAAAATAAGAAAAACTCACGGTAATGCAGCTCAGGTATTACAGTTCTATCAACATTCAGTGTCTGTCTATATGATAATTAAAGAAGAGTAGTAGTAAAAAAATGCAGCAAACAAGACACGCTAACAAAACACAAGCAATAGGAGTTTTGTTTTGCCATTCCTTTTTTCAAATGCATCGAGACATAAAGCTTTTGTGTTTTCTTGGGAGGAAAAAAGAAAGAATGCCCAACCGAGAACTAATAAAGTGCTATGGTTTCAGAAACCCTTCTAACAGTTCCTCTTATGAGATTGATATCCACTAGTATCCCGATCAGTATAACAGCACGACCTTATTTGAACAAACACAACCATATACTCCCTCCGTCCGGAAAAGCTTGTCCCAAACTTGTCTCTCAAATGGATGTATCTAGCACTAACTTGGTGCTAGATACATCCATTTGAGGGACAAGTTTTTTCAGACGGAGGGAGTATCTAGAAACTCAACAAGCAAGCATCTACAGTTCTACGCAAAGGATCTCAAATTCTCAATTAACCTTTGCACTGCAACCAAATAAGATTTCATAGTGAGGAATGATGAAAATCAATCTGAGTTCTTGAATCTGTAGAAACAATAGCATTACATATTTTCATGGTCAGATAAGAAATATTCTTGCTAACAAGAAACAAAGCTTTTCAATCACATATCATCTCCAAAGTGGTCTCAAAAGATGAATACAATGCCCATCCAACACTACTAAATAACTGAAAATCAAGAACAACAGTACAACACCCATTGCATCATCTCAGCAGAAAAACTATCTGCAGGATTTTTAACCGAACAGTTTTTTCATCAGATCAATCCCAGCTACAAGTAACTCCATTCAGTACACTAATTTTTCACTTTAACTTCAGGGATATTATCTGATCAAATTTTGGTGACAAGTTCAACTTTTACAGATCACACTTTACAAAGTTATTTTTTATATAATTACATTCAAGCTTCTGAATTATGCTCAATCCAACATGCTGAACCACCCCAAGTCCACAACCAATAAAACACTAGGATTTCAGAAACATTTCTATTTTTTCCCCCTCAATCCACTAAGTATCCCAAGTTCCCGACCAGTATAACATATTTTAACCAAAATGCTGTTATATGAATTAGTACGTCTGATCCTCAAAATTCTTCAGAAATAAACTCAAGAGAGACATGAAGAGTAAGCAAAAGTTTAAGGATCTCAATTGACCCTGACACAACAATCTAACAAGATTTCATATAGAGATAAAAATCATGCTAACTTCAAAGTCTGAACTAACCTGAACATTTCAACTACATAAGAGTTTCCAAACTGGTCTTACAAGATGAAGACAGTGCGCATCCATGTTCCAAACAAAAGTAATTAAGTAAAAGTACTTCAAATGTTACAAGACCCATTGCATTAGTTAATCCCAAACAAGTGAAACAGCACGCAACTGGCCCAAGAAGTAACTCCACCGCAACACACTAGTTTTTCTCTGGATTTAACTTCAGTGATATTATCTGATCAAATTTTAGTGAGAAGTTCAACTTTTATAGATCACGTTACAACAATATATTACATATCAAGCTTCTCAATTATGCTCAATCCAACATGCTGAACTGCCCCAAGTCCGTAACTAATAAAACATTTTGGTTTCAGAAACACTTCTAAATTTCTTCCTCAATCCAGTAAGTATCCCAAGTTCCCAACCAGTATCACATATTTGAACCAAAATGCTGTTATATGAAACTAGACAAATTATAGTACGTCTGATCCTCAGCGAGATCCTATGATCCAAAGGGCAATACTCAAAATTCTTCAGAAACAGACTCAAGAGAGACTTGAAGAGTAAGCAAACTTTAAGGATCTCAATTGACCCTGACACAACAATCTAACAAGATTTCATAGAGATAAAAATCTGAACTAACCTGAACATTTCAACTAGATAAGAGTTTCCAATCTGGTCTTACAAGATGAAAAGTACTTCAAATGTTACAAGACCAATTGCATTAGTTAATCCCAAACAAGTGAAACAGCACAAACAGCACGCAGCTGGCAGAAGAAGTACATCTCAGAGAGCAGGTGAAAGATTTAACGAACCTTTCCAGAGGTGATGACGACTGGTTTCTCCATGAACTTCTTGGAGAAAGGGCACAAGAAGAACTCCGGCACGGCTACTGGACCAATCCATAACCTCCTGGCATCGGCGCTGCAACGGTGGAGTTCATCGGACCGGGCGGCCTCCAGAGCCCGGAATGCGCACTCGAAGAGCTCGAGCGGGGGCACCGCTTTCTCCTCGTGGGAGCACAGGTCCGTGAACCAGGCGAGCTCGGCGACCGCCTCCATTTTTCGTAACCACCTCTCTAGACCCGCCAGGTCGACCACCTTCCGGTCGAGAAGGAGCTCCTTCTTGATCTTCTCCGTCCTGGGGCCTGCGGTGGCGCCCATCGTCGCCTCCAAGAACTGGGCGGCGAACTGGCCAAGAACCTCCGCCGCGTCGACAACTTTCGGCGGCGCCTCGAGCGGAGGGAAGGAGAACTCCCGTTCCGCCGCCACCTCCTGTGCTCGACCTCCTGTGATGGAAGCGGAGCTCGTGCTCGTATCCGGTGGAGGGACCAGCCTCGGCCTCGCGCTCTGATCTCTCGTCGAGGAGACGGTCTCCTCCATGGCACCGAGGTCCCAGTCGAAGGATCCCCCAGGACCACCTGCGCCGCCAGAACCGGCACCATCTGGAGCCGCAGGGACAAGCGTCACCCTTGCGGACCTTCGCGTCCGCACCGAGTGGGGGACGGGCCTCGAGCCGGCGCCAGGCGGAGGAGACGGCGACCTCGACCCAGCGCCAGGCGTAGGAGACGGCGACCTCGACCCGGCGCCAGGCGGAGGGGACGGCGACCTCGACCTCGGCCCGAAGAATTTGTGGGGCCCGTGATCAGCCGAAGGAGACTGCGCCCGCGCTGCCCGCCCCCGCCTGCGCAGGCCGGGCTCTTCCTCCTCCTTGATCCCCTCCTCCGTCCAGTCCTGGATGCGGTCCATTGATGGGCGTCGCCGTTCGTCGCGTTCTTGGCCTCTTCTTGGCAGGCGCAATGTGGGTGGGAGGGGGAGGGGGAGGGCTTTTGGGGGGATTTGGCTTTTGGCGGCAAGGAGATGGATGTGAAATTGCGAACGGAGTGGAGATTACCACGCTACGCTACGATGGCTTCCTTTTATAACCGGAAAGAGGAAGGCGGGGAAAGAGGAAGGGGTCCTGGTCCAGGATTACCAACAGCAGACGTCTATTCCGCCCTCAAGATTTGTGCAGGCCAATTTTATGCCGACTCTTTCTCTCGCAACCTGTTTGGTAAACACTCGGGCAGGGAAATGGGAGTTTGCACAAGGGTGTTTATGAAGGGATTAGGCATGGGAAGTAGAGGTTTACATCCATTCCCTTGTTTGGCATATGATGGGAATTGGCGTGGGATAGAACTCTGCTCACGAATTAACAGGGTACCCCCTGGAAAGAAATCGGTGGGAATTGGCTTCCTCAACTCCCAGTCCCCTTCCCACTTAAACTCTCATTCCCTCTAATCAAACAGTGGACTTTTAATCTCCTTACCCTCAACTCCCATTCTCCATCTCTAATTCCCCCGAACCAAACACGCTGTGGGGAAATGAACAAAAGGGAATTGCGTGAATTTTGCATACACTATGGTCTTCCGCTCCGCTAGGCTAGGCTAGGCCCCGCTCCGCTCCTGCGCCGCTGCCCTGCCCGGGTGGCCGCTGCCGCCCATGCCGGCCCTGTCTCCGCCCCGGGATCCCGCTTCCCCACCAACCACCCATCAATGCTCCAGGATCGAGGGCGGATCTGGATCCCCTGGTTCATCCACGGCTCCTACCTCTCCCCTATCTCCGGCTGCACCAGAGTGGGGGACGCCCCCGCAAATCCTGCAGCGTGGTGCTGACCTCGAGGGCGCTCCCTCGCCCGGACCGATGGCTTTTGACGCGCCACCACTGCCAGAGCAGCCCCGGCTTCGATCCATTGTAGTTGTGCCTTCCCCGCTGCCCATTTCGGAGGCGACCGCCATTGATGAGGGATGGATACGCTACCAGTCCCGCAAGAGCAAGAAGGCCGGCAAGCGCCCGCCAGGCAACCCAGGGCGCCTCCGCGGGCCCGGATCTGGGCGCGCCTCTCCCTCGCCGGGGCGCGAGGCCTTCTTAAGGAGATTCAAGGGCCTCTGCTTTCGGTGTCTCAGCCCCCACCACCGCCGCGTCGACGTCTGATGAAGAATAACGGGGGAGCCAACTCAATAACCTAGTGGAGGAACCGTCCGGACTTGAAACAGCGGATGCAACCCTTGCATTTTGTTCTTTTGTTCTTTACTCTATTTTCGCTTTGGCACTCACTTCCTTTGGAATAAGGGCATTTTTCTTCTCTACTCGTTCCGTTGACCATCAAACAGTTTCTTAATTATGTTATGTCAAATGATGGGAAAAAGGAAGGAGTAATCAAAAAAGACTAGAACTACCCGATCTGTTGAAATACGATACGAAGGAAACGGACTTCAATCCCTCACTCTTATTGTTTGTTCTTCTGATCCCCTTGTTTTTAACTCCACGACCCCCTCCATTGCATCATCTGCAAGCGGCCAGGCCATCTCGGTAGGGAGTGCCCCAAGAGCAAGAGCGGCCGGGGTGCGGGCGTGCAGCAGGGCCGTCCGGTGCAGGAACAGCTTGTGTTCCCCGCCAGCCCTCCTCCGCCATCGATGGCCCCGGCGAACGCCCCCTGCATCGACCACTGGCACCGGCCTCGATCCAGCCACAAGGTGATCGCCTCCACCCCGAAGATGGAGCAGCAGGTCTTCCTGCTGCAGTAGCATGCGGTGGTGGTCACCGCGATGAGCAAGCTGCACGCGGCCAGCCCCCTCTCCATCGGCCGGGCCATCGAGCGGGAGTTTCAGATCCCCTCGCACCTTCTTCGCGTCACCAGCCATGATCCTGAAGACTTCTTCATCCACCTCACCATGCCGGCGCATAAGGAGCTCATAGTTCGACGCGGCTCGATCAACATGGACGGCGTCTCCTTCCTCCTGGAGCCGTGGAGGGAGGACACGCACGCGATCCACGACACCTGGATGCTGCATGTCCGCGTCGTCATGGAGAAGCTGCCGATGCAGCTGTGGACCCTGGAGGGCGCAAAGGAGGCGCTGGACGACAAGGTGATCATCGACCGCCTCGACAGCCGCACTTTCGAGCGCGCGGACACGAAGCTTTTTGCCGTCTAGGTGTGAGTGTGGTAGCTCCACCACATCCCCACCAAGCAGACGCTGTGGAAGCACGCGCGGGGAGCCGGCAGGGTGGAGGAGATACTCGGCTTCTCGCCGCCAAGCAGAGCGGTCGCGCCCCCCCCCCCCAACCTGCTCCGCTGGGATGTGCTGGTGCATATTGATCGCACCGAAGACTAGACGCCGCTCTCCCCCTGCTCCTCGCACTCGGGCCAGAGCGGGCTCCCCTCTTACGAAGATGACGACCGCCCGTACCCGCGCTTCCCACTTGTGGGTGGCTGGGTGGCAGGCGTCGAGGACGGCAGGCCGTCGCAGGACTCGGGGGCGCGCATGCGCCCTCCCGCGCAGGTGGCGTCCTCGGGCTGCAAGGGCATGCCCTCGGCAGGCCATAGACGCAGCCACGACGGCGACGACAGCCAAAGAAGGTCCTGGAAGGACACTGCAGGGGCGGGGCCGCGGCAAGGAGCCAGCCGCACCCCCCCCCACGGAGTGCCAACGCAGCTGCACGCCTACCTCGCGGCACAGCCAGAGCCGCCCCCGCGGCGGACGCCAGGGCCATGCTGCCAAGTCAGGCAGGGCCGGGTCCCGGGCTGCGTCTTCCTCTGGGACGGCCGCTGCAATGCGCAACCCACTGCTGGCGCCACCCCGGCCGTTGCCAAGGGAATCGGGCGGGCCATCGAGTGGCGGCGACCCGGTGGCAACGTTCTTCGACGAGGTGGGCAAGGAGCTGCCCCTCTGCCTTGGGTGGACCCGAGGAGGGCCGCGGTCGACAAGGCTGCGGCGGCCACCGTTGATAAGCCCCTCTGCTTCGTGGAGAGCACTGACGCGGCCAGCAACATCGACGACGGCATCGACATGGGCCCGGACCTCTCCCTCGCCCTGCACACCCCCAGAGCGGCCACTACGCATTCCCTGCAGCTTGGCGTAGTCACATGCCAGGTGTGCCACCTGCAGCTCTCAGATGCGGGCGGCGCTCCGACAAGCCAGCTGTTCGCAGCCCCTGTGCCTTCCGTGCCGGGGAAGGCCCCGGCTCGCGCCAAGACGCCGGCTCGCTCCAGGCACGCGGCTCCGCCATCCCGTCAGAGCGCTCGACAGGAGACCAACCCATCCAGCGTCCCGGTCAGCCAGAGGGCCACGCTTCGCATCGTGCACGGCTTGGGCATCCTCGGCCGAAGGAAACCATGACGGCCAAGGCAACAGAGGCCCTGATCCGCCGCTTTGACGAGCTACTCTCCGACTCTGACATCAAGGCCATTGCCAGGCTCACCAACCTCGACGCCGCTGCCCTCAAGATCATCGCGGGCATGCACGGACAAGACGGAGAGGCCGCGCAGGCCGCTGATTCCCCATGTTAGTTTCCCCCCGTAGTTGTAGTCTCCGGCGACGCCCAGCGCGCGGCTGGGTAGAGTTAGGTTTCTCCATGTACCGTAACAGTCTAGGGTGCTCTCGTAGCAGGGGCATAGCCGATCACCGGCGGAATTTGGGGCCTATTGGTGGCCGCCGGCGACGCCTCGGGCCGATGGTGGTGTACTCGTTTTTGATTTCTAGTAGTCTTAGTCATCAGAGCATTCACCCGTTTCCCCATGATTGACACAAACTTACAAATCATGTGCTGGAACGTACAAGGGCTCAATTCGCCGGCCCGGCGCGCCGTAGTTTGCGAGGCAGCCGAAATGCACAAACTGGCTCTCCTCTGCCTGCAAGAGACAAAGATCAACGAGTGGAATAGATCGCTAGTTAGGGAGGTTGGCGGCTGCAGACTAGCTGATTGCGTCGTCCTCCCGGTGGATGGCACCCGCGATGGTGCGGCGATATTCCGGTACAAGAGCCGCGTAGACGTGCAATCCCATGCCATCGGCCATTTCTCCATCACGGCCAAGATTACCCTGGCGGCAACGGCTCTTTCCTTTTGGATGACGACGGTGTACGGACCCGTCGACGACGGGAGGAAGGATGAGTTCCTGGCTGAGCTCTCACGGGCTGCACCTCCAGCAGACGCCCCCTGGCTCATCAACGGCGACTTCAACCTCATCTACGAGGCTCGAGACAAGAACAACAGCAACATAAACCGCAAAATCATGGGCAAATTCAGGGCTGCTATCGACGCCGCGGGATTGCAAGAGATCAAGTGTAAAAACAGAAGATTCACATGGAGTAACGAGCGGACGGCACCAACCTTAGTTAGCATAGACAAGTTTTTCTGCAATATGGCCTGGAGCTCCATGTTCCCGTCATATCTACTACATGCTGCTTCAACATCGTGCTCCGCCCACTGCCCCTTGCTGCTGTCAGAAGCTTCTGTGCTTCGCCATGCGGCCCGTTTTCGTTTCGAATCCTTCTGGCCCCGCTTTCCTCGCTTCCACACGACGGTCCAGCGCGCTTGGAACCGCCCTGTAGCCTCCAACTGCGCCTTCCAGCGTCTCAATACCAAGCTGCTTAGAACGACAAAAGACCTGAAAATCTGGGCAAAGGGCTTCTTCAGTGAGACGAGACTCCAAATGCACATGGCAAACGAGATCATCCTACGTTTTGACATAGCCCAAGCTGCGCATACTAGGTCTAGCTGCGATCGACAGAGCTCGCAAACGGCAGGCCTCGCAGGTCACCTGGCTCCGTGCGGGCGACGTCAAGACGGCATTCTTCCAGGCCAAAATCAACTCCAGGCGCCAGAAAAACTTCATCCATGCCCTCCACACTGGCGACGCCATCGTCACCTCCCACGGTGACAAGGAGCAGATCATCCATGAGCACTTCAAATCCACCTTGGGGACAATG